AACTAAACTACAGTTCTACCTGTACATGTTGGTTGAGACGGGATCAATTAATCATGCCCTCTCTCATTTAAGTTCTGAATCCATTAGGAAGGAAACACTGGCGTCAAACAGGAGTCTGAGTAACAGTATTATCAATGGAAAAATGGTATTAGGAAATGTGAGATGAGAGAAGGGGTCATGGGTAGAATGATATGGTTTGGCTGTGTCCCCACCCAAATCTCATTTTGTACTCCCAGAATTCCCATGTGTTATGGGAGGGACCCAGTGGGAGATAATTTGAATCATGGGTGGTTCCCACCATACTGCTCCTGTGGTATGGTATTAAAAGTCTCATGAGATCTGATGGTTTTATCGGGGGTTTCTTATTAAAAAATAAAAAGTGAGATGAGAGGAGGGGTCAAGAAAACTTACGAGATTGTCTTTTAGCTTGATTAGCATGAAGTTTTCCCTTTGGACATCCACAGGCTCTTATTCGCAGCAATGCTTAAAGCCAAGTTCTACTATATAGGGCAAAAGGCTTTCTCCTAGCATTTAAAAGCAATCATTTTGAAAAAAGAAAAATTGATATGGCATGAACAACCAAAAGGTCTGGAGCCAAGTGACAGGGCATCTCAGTCCTTTCTCTGGTCTATTCTAACAACAAAAAGGAACAGCTTGAGATTGGGTAAGGGTGTACCCCATGCTTCTGGGCAGCATGACCCTCAGATCCTGTCTGCTGGTTGTCTGGGTTCCCTGTACCTCCCCCAGGCTGCTGGGATGAAAAGACACCATTTGTCAGAGGACTCTGCAGTCAACAGTAGTGAGATAATGTGGTTTAAAACTTGTTCTAAGTTTCCTGGAGAAAGGAGTCCTTGGGCATCAACATTTAAGCATAGCCCCAGGCAGACAGCCCAACCCTGATCTGAGCAAAGGAGTGGTGTGGGTGTGTGCGTATATGTATGTATGTATGTGAATATGTTTATGCATGTGTGTGCTTGTATGTACATGCATGCACATCGATGTGCATGCACTCACACTCTTCTGCACACCAATTACACTTCCCTAAAGCTCTGCTTGCTGCCCCAAGACAGTGGGGAAGAGAAAGGCTAAGGATGGAAGCCAGGAACCATGGGGTACACCTGGCTGAAGGAGCCTGGACTCTGCTGGTTTCCACAGCTCCCTCTGACCTCAGTCACATTCTGACTTTCCCTCTTGGCTCAATGAATGTCTCGTCCTGCCACGCTCTAGTCAACAGACCTTGACCATTATTGGCCTCCACGACTTGGTCAAGTCCTCCCCTGTTACAAACTCCAAAAGCAGTTGTGGTTCTCTCCCTCGAGTAAAACTTCATGGTGTTTATTTGCAGTGTGACTTTACATTTACTTGGGTGATCACAGTCTATTTCACTCACCAGGCTGAAACTTTCATGAGAGCAGGAGCAATGTCTGTTATTGTTTACTAGTTTGTCTAGGCACATAGTAGATACTACCAAAATCCTTGTCAAATGAATAAATGAATAGGGAATGAATTAATAAACCAGTAAACCAATGATTTGCTGAGTCAATCAATGATCTGCTCTCAGAGCATTTTCTTCACTTACAAAATGGTACCCATAAAGTCTATGCTGTTTCACAGAGAACACACAGAACTACACAGGCACATGGTCAGAATGGAGCTGCAGCATGCTAAAAACATTCTCCATTCTCCTTAGGAAACCCAGAGAATGGAGGCCCTAATTGCAGCTCTGTTCCCCAGAGATTCTGATTTAATTGGTCTGGAGAAAGACCTAGGTGTTGGAACTTTTTGACAAGTTCCACAGGTGATTCTAAAGTGTAGCCAAGGTTAGGATCCACTGTGCTTGATACTGAGGGAACCTCAAGTTGAGTCATTCCTGTTCTCTGCCTTCCAGTATCTCCTTGTTTAGTGGGCAGGAGAAGCCTGCATATGGATCCTGACATTACAACGTGCTGAGGGCTAGAATGAAAGACTGGACTAGCAGCTGCAAGGTTAAAGAAAGGGAAAAAAATGATCTCTGCTTGGGTAGGCTGTTCAGGGATGACTCTACTGGGGCCGTGGCATGAGTTCCATTCTGACAACAATTCAGAATTTACCAGGCAAAGCCAGGGAGGCCTTCCAGCCCACAGAACAAACAGCAAGTCCAAAGATACAGAGGTGTCAGGGGGAAAACAGATTAGGGGTTTTTCCAAACTACAAACTGAAATTATGTAGAATGCAAGAGGGTATGGAAAATAATACCATTATAATACCAAGATAATACCAATAATATCAAGAATGCATGCTATAATGCCATTATATACATAATACCATTATATAATGATATGATATATAATATCATTATATATAAGAATGCATATTATAATACCAAGATAATACCAATAATACCAAGAATGCAACTTCATTTGTATTCTTGCGTGTGAGGAGAAAGGCATTCCTAAAACTCTGTGATGGAAAAAGGGATCAAACTAATGGCCAACCACACACAAAAAAATGTGGAAAGTTCCAAATGAAATCAGCCACCAGCAGCTCTGCAAACTCAACCTGTGGTGGACGGTTTGGGCAAACGTTTCTCTAAGTGTGATCACCTGACCAGCAGCATTAGCATTACTCAGGAGCCTATCAGAAATGCACATTCTCAGGCTCCACTCCAGAATTATGAACTCAGAAACTCTCAGGATGCAGAGAAACCTGTGTTCTGACAGGCCCTCCAGGTGGTTCTGATGCACACTACAGTTTGAGAACTACTAATTTATGGGTAGTCCCCAGAGGACTGTGGCTTTAAAGAAAAACAGCATATAATTCAGTGTATACTTCATTTATGTTCTTGATTGGCAAATAAACATGGCTTTTGAAATAGTCATGAGGCTTTAAATCCTAAGAAGCTTCCCCTACAGGAAACTGAGCTCTGCCAGCAAAAGACAGTGCCTCCTGTGGCAGAACAGGTGCTTCTGCCCCACAGTGAATCAGGATGCCTTGCTCAGGGCACCAGAGTAAACATGGTGCCTTCCCCAGCTACAGCCTGCCAAGCCTGCCTATGGGTCTGGAAATCAGGGCAAGGCAAGATTCCCACGTACAAAATTAGATCTTGGAAACAGGTTAGTTATCTTGGACCAGCTTAGCATAAAGGAATGTTATCGCTGTACAGATCTACACACAGATCTATACGAAACTGAACTGAAACCATGCAGTCTTTCAAAGAGAAAGGCCACCAGCCAAAGAGAACAGTGGAATTTTCAGATGCCAGTGCTATTCCTTACACAGAAAAATCAGGAAACTGGGTTTCTGTAGGGTGTCTGAAGCCAACCTCTCCCCTACCATCTGCCGTAGTCTACTATCTCCTCCATTCTGGGTGCATGAGGTGTTCAGGGGACACTTTTAAAGGTGTACGCTTTTTGAAACCACCTGTCCAAAGGAAGTCGCAAAGTCCTAGAGACAGCAGCCAATTGCAGTACTTTATTTTTCAGAGACAGACTCTAATTACGCTGTGAAATGACTGAATCAGCAGAGTACTTCCATGCTGCATGACGACTGTGAAAGAAGCATATGATGTTGTGTAAATATTTCTTTCCTTCACCTAGGTCATTAGCTTTTAGCACCACATCATTTTGTTGCCTTGCTTTCCATGCTGATCCTGCCACTTCTGTGTCATGGGATTTAGAGGTTCTGAACCAGAATCACCCAAGCTGGCTCTAACACTCACCAATTGGGTAAACTTGGACCCTGGCCTTTGAAATGGAAAAAAATAACCCACTAAGATGATTGTGAAAAAGTAGGACAAGGAATGACCCACTCAAAGAGATCAATAAATATGGTGCCTTTCTCTTCTTCAAGGTTGTTGTCCAGATTCCCTAAGATCATACATGTAAAAGGCACTTTGTATCTTGTGAATGGGTTGCATTGGTGTTGATTGTTACTATTCTTTTTCTTCTAATTTTTTACCTCCAAGCCATTGTTTTGGTTTTTATAGGAATTATGCAATATTCACTTTAAAAAGACACCGAGTATCACACCCCTAGAGAGGTGTGTCATATCCATTATCTCATTTAGTCTTGACAGTGATTTATTAACTCTACTTTTTCTTTTTTTTACAGTGAAGCAAGTGCAGCTCTTAGGAGTTGCCTGTGGTTTGAGGACTTTGCTGTTAATTAGTGTCAGGACAAATTTTTGAGCCCAGATAAATCTGCACTCCACTTTGCCTACCTAGGAGAAGCCTCAGAGATCCTCGTAGCCCATATATCCTGTTGTATCTGCAAAGAACTTGTCCCCGGTCACAGGGCAAGTCACAGGCAGCAATGGGGTTAGAACTCACATCTCCTGACACTCAAACCAACACTCCAGGTTCTCTGCTGTTACGTGTTTCAGTCACTTTCCTGACCCAGGAGAGGCATGATCTAAATTATCCTTTCTTCAAACGATCACCCAGAAATCTCTATTTGAAAAAGAAACTTCAGAGACTGCTTTTTTTGTGGAGCTTCTAATCCTCATGCGTGGTAGGGAAGATGGCAGCTAGGGGAAAAGCTTAGGAGTTTTTAGTTCCTGTTTATCCATGTATCATTCTTTTAGTCCCTGAGGCTACAATATCCATTTGGAAAGATTAAATAAAACAGAGTTGGGGACAGAGAAAGGGGAGCTCTGGGGGAGGCCAGGAGAAAGTGGAATTCCCTAAGCATTAGACTAAAGAGCCTAAGACATTACTCATTCTCAAATGGGTCTCACTTCTTAAAGACAAACTGGCTTCTTGGGAAATTGCAGGCAGGTGAAAGCAGCTTGGGTGATTTTTTTGTCCGTGAACTTGGCTTTTCTTTCCAGCATTCTCAGGTGCACTTGGGGCCCTGGGAAGACACTGGGCTTTTTCAAAAGACATTTCCACCTCCTAATCTCTGTGCCTACAAACCAAATATTGATCTATTTAGTAAACGAGCCTATGGGAGGAGAGATTATAAAGCCCTGTTTACTCAGCAGTTGGGCCCCCCTGACAGCTGTTCAATGAGGGATTATGATGTCACAGTGGTAATTACACTATAAACAGGGGATAGGGGGAGAATAAAGCATGAAAGAGAACCCTGGGCTTGTTACCAGGCAACACAAAATATGCAACCTGAAACCAGGCAAGCATGTAAATTTCCTTACAAGCCTCCCAGATGTCCTCACTTTATGGCCAATGCTCAGTTTCAGTTTCAATTTGTTTATTTGCCCTTCTTCAGTCACAAATGTGGAGCTGAGAATGCTGGAAGAGAGAAGAGAAAGCACGAAATAAAAAGACAAGGAAGGACCCTGCTTTCTCCCCTGCGGGTGTAAGTGGGTCCTAAGAAGGCAAAGGGGCTGGGTGTACTCTGTGCCGAAAGCTCTAGAGGTCCATGTCCCAGGCGGAAGGTCAACCCGGTAAAGAGGCTTAAGGCAGCTAAGAAAAAGAGCCCAGGAGAGAGGAGAAAGAGAAAAGGGGAGTGGAAAGTGAGAGGGTAAAACTGGCTACAAAGGAAAAGGGAGAAGAGTCCACTGCAGGATCAGACCCCAGGAACTAGAAGGGGCGCCTGGAGTCCCCACAGCCACAGCCCCACCTAGTGGGTGCCCTATGTTCTTTATGCTGTTCCTTCGGTGATGGCGTCCCTCATGGTCCCAGGCAGCTCTGCCTTTCTCTGGGTGGCTTTATCAGAAAATTCCTCAGTTGAGCTGAAATCAGCCTCCCGGTTCTAGACGCCAACCCATCCCATTCGTTCAGATTCCACGACTCAGGAAAAGTACCTTACAGCCCCACAGAGATTTGGAAACAATGGCCAGGATACCCTGTGTTTTTCTTCCCCTGAATTCTCATTCCTGCAATAGATCTCCCGGCAGGTTTTTCAGATGAAATTGCTTCTTACTCAAATCGAACAATTTTCAATGGGTTCCTCTTACAATCTAGGCTTTGAAACCAGACACACCCTCCCAGGTATGGTTTGACCTCACAGAATTAAACAGAATCAGCTACATCTCTCCTCTCTAGTCTCATCCACGAGGTCCTGCTCTTTAGAGAGCTACAGAGGTGGGCTGGAAATGGCTGGAGCAGGTGCATGAGAGTGGATTGTTAAATTTTCAGGAATTTCGTGAGCTGGTTATGAATCCCTGGTAGCCTGAAATCCACTATGGGAAAAATATTTACACTACAGATATTGTCAAATGCAGGAAACAAAGGCTTTCCTTCAGCATCCCCCAGAGAGCAGGTTTAACAGCACACCACTGTCCCTGACCAACCACTTTCCACCTCTTTTGGGATTCAGTGTCTCACAGAGGATAGGCAGAAGCCTGAAGCCAGAGAGCCCCACAAATGACAGGCCTTCCTACAAAAAGCTGTGAAAGTAGGAACCACTGCCTCTGTTAAATCAAATCTAAAGAACAGGGGACAGGAGTTTAATTTCTTTTCACTCTTCCAACTAGTGTGACCACCTCTGCTGACAGAACATTTCTCTCGGGAGTGGTTCACATTAAGGCCACACAAATTTCCATGGGGCACTCCAAGAGCCAGATAGCCAGATGTTGAATGGCCAGGTTGCCAAAAACAAAAAGTAAAGTTACTAAACTGAATTGTAGAGGTGGCAGCAGCTGCTTGCATGGGCACAAACACAGCAGCTCAGTCAGTGGCTTTTCTGCAAACTTGGGAATTCTGTCCAATTTCTTCTTCTTTTAAATTCTAGGAATAACTGTCTAGAATGATAGTTTTGCCAGAGCTACATTTCCATTCTGGTCAGTCCCTTCCTTGATGTTTGAGGGGATGTCCATTACTTTCCCTTGCTGGGCCTCAGTTTCCATATCACTCAGTGGTATGGGTTGAGCCTTAGGATGTCTAACTGCAGATGAGTTTTGCAACTGACTCCAACATGAGCTGTGGCAATCATATTCTGACAAGTGCAGTGAGCAGAGCTGGGCTGGTTGAGCAGTGTTTTTGCACATGCTAATCTTACTGTGCAGACTTGCTCTCTGCCTTCACGCCTCCTGTCGTCCTGGGGATGGTTTGTTTGTTGTGACCAGCCTCTTTTCAGACGCACTGTCAATGCTGATGAAATTGTCCTCAGTGTTGCTCTCGGCCAGGTTATCTCCCAGAGAATCTCCTCCAATCCCAGGCTGATTTTAAGTTACTTCCCTAAAAGAGGCACCCTCAGGTGCCCTACGCTGAAGCTTCAGATGAAGTCGAGGTCTGGAGGCCTTGGCAAAGCCTCCACCCCTTTGCAAAAATGCTCTCTTTGCATCTTACCTGAACATTTCCCAAGAGGAAAAGCACACAGTGTTTTCCTTTTGCCAACCTATGACAACTTAGAAAGCACCCCAGTGCTAATACTGCATCTTTACGCCATGTTCCTTTCAAGAGCCCAGGTTTTGAAGTCAGAGAATCCTACATCATTTGCCAATCCACTTTTTATCTCATCTCCTCTCTGCCACCCCCACTTCCAGCATCCTGGCTTCTATGCTCAGCATCTACACTGCATGTTCCTACTTCCCAAATTGCTCTTTCCACACATGTCCATATGAATTGATTCCTTTGAGTGTTCGGATGTTACCTCGCAAGCTTCCCCCTAACTATCCAATATGAACAGTAACCCCTCCACTAAAACCTCCCTACTCCATCGATTATCACCATCTTGACCATGATGTACTTTACTACGTGCATTTACCCTTTCCCCAGAATGTCAGGTCCAGGAGCACAGAGGCTTTGTTTTGTTCACTGCTGAATTTCCAATGTCTAGAACAGCGTCTGGCACATAATAGGCACACAATGAATATCTGCCCATAGAATGAATGTACAGTCAGTTCTCCTTATTCTTGGATTCTGCATTTGTGAATTTGTTTACTTGCTACATTTATTTGTAACCCTAAAATCAATATGGCAGTTTCAAAGTTATTCATAAACATGTGCAGAGCAGTGAAAAGTTTGAGTTGCCCCAAAGCACCTGTTTTCAGCTGAGGCTGAATAAGAAGTCACTGCCTTCTGGTTTCAGCTTTCATGATGTAAACATGTGCCCTCTTTACAGTCTGTTTGGTGCCATGGTTTTCCCATTTTTTGTTGGTGATATCATTGTTTAAAATGACTGCCAAGCATAGAACTGAAGTGCTATCTAGCATTCCGAAGTGCAAGAAGGTTGTGATGTGCCTTACAGAGAAAATACACGTGTTAGATAAATTTCATTCAGACTTGAGCTTATAGTGCTATTGGCCATGAGTCTGATCAACAGTATATACTAAATAAGGTGTCCTTAAACAGGAGCACACAGAAAACAAGATTATATTAATATATTGATTGGTTTGATATTCCTATTGTTTGATGTTCTCTGAGTGAACAGAAACTTTCAGGAACATAACTCCGTATTTCCCCTAAGGGCAATTTTTCAGTATTCACTAATTCATTATTCAAAAAGAATGTGACTTTATAGATTATAACTACTATAACAACAAAGATCAACTGTACCTGCATTTGAATCTTGAGCAGTAGCCCATTAACAGTGGTAGTAATCTGGCAAGTGACTTTAACTCAGCCTTGGGTTCCTAATCTGCAGATTGGTAATGATAGCACGTATCTGCTTGGCTGTTCTGAAAAGTAAGCGAGACAATTAATATCATCAAATGCCTAGCATAGTGCTCCGGCCATAGAAGGTAGACCAAAGACATCTGCTCCTCTTACATTGATCTTGCTCACATACATATTTGCGATCCACAGAGCAAACTCTTTTGGCTTTCTTGCATTTCAAAAACATTTCTCCTTGTAGTTCTCATGACTGAAACAGCCCATCAACTGTCTGGTCCATTCTGCTACTGTTGGCCATTGAGCTTACATCAAATTTTGAATTACACAATGAGCATGAGCACACATTTTAAAAAATGTAGCTCTTTCCCTCTTCCTAAGGAGTATATTGCTTTACAATAAACTCCCAGGAGTGAATTTATTAATTTGATAGGTACCAATAATTGCATGGCCCTAAGAGTATGTTTTGATAGTGGTAATAAGAGGAAGCTTCTTGGCAGATACTCAGCCGGGACTTAGAAGTTTGCCAAGTGATTCACCCATTCTCTGGCAGCATTCAATGTCTGGGATAATTCAGATTTGTGAGAAATGCTATTGATACTCTCATCATTTCAAGAAGGGAAATTGAGACTAGAGAAAAGAAGTGAGTTGTCCAAGGTGCTCAGGCCAGTTAATACCAGACAAAGACTGGACCCCAGGTCTGCAGACTCTCAAGTCATCATCCTTCCCACCCTACTTTGACCAGGATAATAATTAAAATGTTCCCACCAGGCTTAGTAATGCTGCTTCCTCAGGCTTTTAGGACACATCATTTTAAGGAAAGGAAATGTGATAGATGTACTTTATCTTCTACTGAGAAATTTAAACATGCCATTTCATTCACTCCCTTTTCCCTTTGAATTTCTGTGTTGACATAACAACAAGCAGGATAAAGAAGAAGATTTGTGCTCATCTTTAGGATACATTATCAAAAGACCAAGGGAGAATCTGAATCTGACCAGCACAGCATTGTCCCAACACCTGTCATTTAAACTCTTCCCATTCAACTGTTTTCTGTAGGAGGTACAAAGACAGCAACTTCTCTCACAGGACTTTGAAGCGAATACTGAGCAGTACTTTTCTGATAAGAAGATAATGGATGCATTCATATAAATCATCATGACAGTAATTAATGCTTCCTAGAGAATGGAATGGCCTCCAAGAGTCATCCACTATATGAGTACAATTTTCAAACCACTCTAGAACTTAGTTGTCAACTTTGCCTTGAAAAGTTCCTGATGATAACCAAATAGAACAGACTAGAAGTAGAATAAAGTTTCATGCAGAGCTTTATTTCAGAAAGTATAATTCTTGTATACTTTCAACCAAGAACGAAAATTCCCCTTGGTGAACCTAGTCTCCATGTTGGGCCAAGGAAGCCAATAATTCTCATGTTGACATTAAAAGAAGAGTTTTGTAGAAATATCTATCTCAGTTGTAATCTTGCATTGATGATGAGATGATGATCTTCTATTAGAAGAATTTTATTGACATGTAAACAGATTTTTCACATTTTCTTTATAGAAGCTAACAGCCCCCTGTTTTTGCCTAAGATTGCCTGTCAGGAAGAAAGGAAGGAAGGAAGGAAGGAAGAGAGGGAGGGCGGGAGGGAGGGAATCAGCACAGGCTGTCTTACTGCAGAGCAGGTGCCAAGGTGAGACTTTATGGCTGCCAAAGACTCTGATTTGGCTCTTGTCAAATACAAGGTGATTCTGCATGGAAATATTGAGGAGCAAGAGACATAGGCTTCTTCCCTCTATGCTCCTCCTCTAAAAGCTAGGTAAGCCTGGACACATGATGCTTGCTTGATGGGTTTCCCGAGACAAAAAAAAGATGATCAGATCATGGTAGCATCCCAGAGTAGTGCTTTGGTAGGGAGCTATCAACTGACCCTCGGCTGACTAATTTAACAAATTATGTATGCCCTCCTGAAAATGCACACATTCAGAAAAGCTGAAAAAGGAAAAGTACAAGAAGGGACTAGATGCCAAAAGTTGGAGGAGGAATGCAGCTTCTATAGCATGTAAACTTCTCCTTCTCTTTATTCCCATTGGTACTATCAGATTCTCCCTAATGAACCAAGCAGAGACTCTCATTCATAGCCTTAGGTGGAAGTGATAAAGGCCTTATAAGACTAGGGTAACCATACTGTCTCTGCTGAATTCTGTTCTCAGAGTTCAGAAGGGCATGAGGATAAATTGGCTTTGGTAAACAATGGTGCAAACAAATGATGAGGCCAATAAACCATCATTCTATATGATGCGTGATGGAATATACTAGGGGCATTGTTAAATTTTTTATTAGACCACTCTTCAAAAGAACATGACTCATAATTTTAATCTCAATTATTGTAACTCACATCACTGGATTCTTGTTATACCAGTCCTACTGCTTAAAAATATTTACAACAATCAGCAATTCTACTTGAAGGCTCACAAATTACACTTAAAGGTTTCAATAATGTCTACTATTCTTTTATTTTGAACAAGACATGAATGGAGATGAACGTGGAAGTGAAATAACTTATGAACCTTCCAGTTTTGATCTAAAGGACAGATTTGTCACATGAAAGCACAGTGGGTAATTATCAAGTGGTTGAAATGACAATTAACTCCATCCTTAATAGTTATAATTTGACAGACAATAAATCAAGATGGCAACCATCTGTAAATAAACACCCACACAGCCAGCTGAACACTATTGCACAATAGCTTAACCTCATAAACTAGCAAACTAGTTCTGACTAGTGAGCAAGTAAATCTCCTAAGACCAGAGAGAAGCAAGTTTTTGGGTCACCATGTTCCTACATTTGTCAGCTGGACACAATTGAGGGCCTAATGTTGTTTTGTTTTGTTTTCATTTGATTTTTTTTCTAGGACAATTATTGTTATTTTCCACAAAACATTAGCTTATTTAAAAATATGGGATTGTAAATTTTTAGTTCAAGTGAAACCGTTCTCACAAATAGCTCTATCCTGGGGCCTTATGGATCCCCTAGCATACTGTGCCTCAGCCACAGAGCAACGGCCACAGTTTACTGCCTCTCTTTCTTGAAAGCCTCTCCTTATTTGGCTTCCATTACATATGCTTTCTTTTTCTTCTTTTCAGGATTCTTTCCTGGATTTTGAGAATGTGGTGGTGTTAGTATCAACAACAAGAACATATGCTCTTTCTTACCTTCCGCTAACTGGTTTCTATACAGTATATAGCTTAATCCTCCTAACAGCCCTCTGGAGTGGGAATCTTATTTTCTAATTACCCTTAAGAATAGGCAAGCCAAGAATGATCCAGTCACTTTCCCAGGGTCATGCAGCTAGTAAATGGAGAAGCAAAGATTTTAACACAAGCCCATAACCCTGAAGCTGTGGCTGTCAACTCTGCTGCTTCATCTGCACAGTCTTTATTATTTTTTTCAGTTCTATGTTGTTGTTGTTTTTTTTTTAACTCACTAAATATCCTTTTCTTGGCCTGCCAGCTACTCCCATGCAGTGTCATTTCATTGCTAAGGATTCCCAAATCTATCTCTAACTCAGTTCTGCCTTCCAAATACCAGATTCTTGTAGCAACACATTGCTGTACTTACCACTTGGATTTATTCTTTAATTTAGCAAATACCTATTAAGTATTATAACTTGTGGTCAGACACTGTCAGGTACAAGGACTACAGTGGAAAACAATGCAAGAATCAGTGCCTTTGTGGAACATATATTACAGATGGAAGACAGTGGGGGAAATACAAACAACTGATAAAATTTGAAGGTAAAACATAGAGTATAATTGATGGTGATATGTGCTAAAGGAAAAACAACAGAAAGGAGGGATTGTGAGATCTTAGGGAGAAGGGAGCCTGCCTCTTAGGGAAGGGGGCCATGGCAGACCTCACTGGGGAGGTAAGGTTGCACTGAAAACCTGAAGGAGGAGAAAGAGCTGCTTAGGTGGGCACTTGAGAAAAAGCCATTCAGGGTTGGGGGATAGTCGCTGGAAGGCTCCTACGACGAGCGTGCTGGGCATGTCTGAGGAACACTAAGAAATCCAAGATGGCAGAGTGGTACAGAGAAGGCCAGAGCAGGAGAAGAGGAAGCCCCATCAGCAATGGGGCAGGGCTGCAGGGTTGGGAGGGGTGGGCCATGCAGACTAGCACTTACTTGGGGATTTTACTCTGAGCAAGATGGGATGGCCTTGGGAAGCTTTGGACAGAGGAGTCAGGTTCTGACTTCTCTTTAAAAGGACCATCCTGCCTACTCTGTTGAGAACAAGCTGAAGGAGGGCAAGATGGAAACCAGAGGGGCAACTTAGGGGCTACTTCAATAATCCTACAAAAGACGATGGTGGCTCTGATGAGTGTGGTAGCCATTCAGATGGTGAGAAATGATCAGATATTGAATATATTTTGAAGAAAATGGCAGCTGAATTTTCTGAAGGATCAGTTGTGGGATACAAGGGAGAGGAATCATGGCGGACACTTAAACCACGTGCTGAGAAGGGGAAGTGTGACAGAAGCAGGTCTGGGGGTTAGGATTGGGGAAAAGATTGGAAGCTTAGTACTAAATATTCCCTGGTGATTTTTGTATGTATGTGTACAAAACAGACACTGAATTTGTTCCCATTCAGAGTGTGCACATGTGTGCGTGCTCACACACAGACACACACACACACACACACTATCCTTTCTCCTGCATATCCTTCATCTCCATTAACAAAACTATCCAACCAGGCATTCATGCTAGATTTAAAGACCCAATTCCCTCTTCCTCACTGCAGCATTTAAGCATTCCCTCTAGGTCATCCCCATCATCATTACACAGGTTCTCATCCCATGAATACAGCTGTTTTCTGTGCCAGGGTATAAATCTTTCCCTCAATACAGGTGATAACACTTGATCACCTTCTAGCTGAACTTGCTTGACAAATATCAACTCATTCTTTAAGGCACGACTTAAATATTTCTTTGCTGTGGCCTTCATGAGCCCAAGAGCAAATTAGCTACTCACTCCTGTTATTTCAAGTATTTTTTTATTCAACAAGCCAATATTATTTTTTCTACATTGGGCATCTGTTGGTACTTATTATAGTGTAGCATGCATGTGGACATGATGAGAGATGAGGCCACAGGAGGAACGGGGAATGGGTTGATAAAGGATCTTGAACATCATGCTGTAAGCACTGTACTTACTCATCAAGTTGAGAGAGAACAATGGGAGAGCTTCAAGAAAACAGAGGGTTTAATATGAATCTTCAAGAATTCACTCCAGTAACCATGTGAAGGGTGAGCTGGAGGGTAAAGTAAGTCAGACAAGATTTGATAAGCTCCTGAAATAAGGCAGGTTTCATGGGGATGGAGAATACAGAACAGATCTGGCTTTTCTGAAGTAGACTCCAGCAGGCTTATGGATAATATCTGTAAGCCTTGCCATTTACCAGGCACTATTTTAATCATTCCATCTGTATCAACTTATTTAATCCTCTCAACCATCTCATGCAGGAAACAGTGTTCTTAGCTCCATTTTACACAGGAATTAAACTAGTATCTGGATAGGATTGAGTAAGTCGCCCAAGTCACATGGCTCTGAAGTAAAAGTGCCTAGATGTGAATATAGGAAGCTGCTCTAGAGCCCATGTTCTTCTCACCGTTCTACCTCCTACAACATAGTGTATTCATATGAAGCTATATTTAGCTGAGCAAGAATATTTTTCCAACCTGTATTAACCCAAATTTAATGTCTACTTTAATAACTTTTGCAAAATCTCCCTTTCAAAATATACCATTTGTGAACAGTACATGCTATAACTTGTATTTTCATGGATACTTAGCCACTGTGTGATGTTTTTCTTAGTCTTTTTTACCCTTCAGTCAAATGAAGGGAAACATCTAGCATATGGAAACATTTTCATTCTACAAGTTGCACTGAAGGGTAATATTATGCAATTTGCAAACACTGTCAAATAAAATATAAATATGCATTATGTGTGGAGACAAATATATCTTTGTATCAATGATTCATTTGGTCAATCTTTTTATTCAACAAACATTAATCAGTCATCTGTGTTATGACAGGAGCAGTGGTCAGCAGTGGGAAGAGAGAGATGAATAAGACTTATCCCTTGTCATTGAGGAAAACTCACAGGCTTGTGATTTTTATTTGTAAATGATCATGGCTGGGTGAAAAGTTTTCAGTTGACTCTCATGACTCATCAACCATCTCAAAGATAAAGGAAGTCCTATGTTTTGATTCATGTAGACCTATGGTCTTTAACCCGGTTCTGCCTCTTAGTACCTAGACATGTTGTCCCATCTATCTGAGCCTCAATTTCCGCAACTCAAAATAAGACACTATCTAACAGGATGGTGGTGAGAATTAAGGATAGGCTTAGCAGATAGATGCTAGTTTGAATCAGAGTAGTTAAATAAATGACTAATGTGGCTTTTTATTTTTCAATCACCAGTACCATTTCCAAGGGTCCAGTCAAAAATCACACCTGTTCCAAAACTAGCAGACAAGAACAAATAAAATCCTGGTGGCTTCAGGTAGAAAGCAGATGGCCTATCAGCAACTGAATTGGCCAAGTTTTTGCAAAAGCAAACCAGAATATGCTGACATACGTTTTCAACAGCTAATACACCCAAGGAGGAAGGGCAAGTTTTTTGAGCATCAGCTTATTAAGAAGGAATGAAACTTGCTAAAGAAATGGTGAAGACTTGTACAGCAAGAGAACAGATACTTAAGAACCAGTGTCTCTGGAGAGAGAGAAAACTGTTCTCCTGAAGATATCCTAATAGGTTTTCTTTAGTGGAGTGACACCAGCAGAAGAGTTGGTTCTCTTCTGACAGGGGGCCCCAGTAAACAAGATTCCAGGAATGAGAGAGTCCCACCCATCACTGTAGCTGTGAGTCACCAGGGGATTCCCCACAGAAACCCCATAATAAAAAACAAAAATGGTCAGACTGGTTCTCTTGCCTCAACATGGCAGGCAGCTTATCCTATGGGAGTACCAGATGGAAAGAGCTAACGGGGAAGGAAAGTAACAAATATCACACACATTTCATGTGTCAAGTAGTCAAGCATTTTGTCAGGCTTCTTCCTTGGTTAACTGATCTAATATTCCTAATAACTCAATTAGGTAGGTCGTTATTATTTCTAGTTAACTGGGTGAGGAAACTGAAACTCAGAGACATAAGTTGGATTTCTGCTGAAGCTGTTCAACAGGTTTTCTCTAAAAAGATACCAGCACCTCACCACTAGTAGGTGGAATTTGAATCTAGATCTTTCTGACATCAAAACCTATGTTCATGCTGTGAACATAGCCACTCTGTGTCTTGGAGTAAATCTGAAATCAGTCGGTTTAGGCCATCTGATTATTTTCCATTTGTCAGACCACTCTCTTTTCCTCAAGACAAGTCTCTTACCTTCTCTTCTATCTGCCATGGATCCCCAGGAGACTGGCCTGTATAATGAGTATCACAAATCTCCCTTGTCCTCTGGCTTTTGGTTGGGTTTGGCCAATGAGAAGTGCCAGCAAGTGATCAGAAAGCAAAAAGGAAAGAGAGATTCAGGTATTTATTCTTCTGTATATTCCCAGCCTTGTTGCACTGAGCTGTGGCTGTGTTTCTGCCACTCTAGGTCTACTAAGCCACGCTTGTTCCAAAGCTCCAGCATTCAAGTTCTATTTCTGGCTTTTCTGCCTGAGACAATAAAACCTTCCTGCTATTGACAATTCCTGGATGTCTAACAATTCCTTGTTGATTCTTTTAACATTGCTTATGTGTCTATAGATACTGTCTTTATGAAACTATATTCAGCTAAATCCTTTCGAGTGTACCATTTTGTTCCCTGCTAAGACTCCAATAATATAGTATTGAGCTAAAAATTAGTGTATATTTAATTCCGTCATAGTTTAGAGACTTAAATTGGTCTTAAGATATCTAGTAAATAGCATTGTCTTGTACCTTATGGAAATGAATCAGCTGAAATTACAGTGAACACATTTTGTTTGGAGCTGCTAGCTTGCTGCAGGGCCCATAAACTCCCCACATGTTATTGGCAACCACTATGGTGAATGAAATTTCCCAGTCGCACTTGGAATGCGATGTTTTTCTGTGAGGCCACGCTACAAAGATGAAATCCAAAGAATATGAAAACATGCCTTATGAACCCTGCCAAGTTCTCTAGAATGTATGCAAAATGGAACTAAAAGCATTTGTAACTCTGTCACAGAAAGTGGGGCTGTGGTTGGGAGAAACTTGACTGAAATCACTTGAGCCCCTGCGATGCTGGCTTTTGGGAATGATGAGTGAGTACTTTGTAAATGAACTGAGAAATGTTTCAGCCTTAATTACCTTTTTGAAGCTTTCGGAGGGCTCCTACACAATAGCAGTTTGTCCATGAAACACATAAATCAAAGGGCCAACCGTGAGGCCTGAAGTCATACCTCAGTGAGTCTGTTAGGTGAAGGCCAAGACTCTGTTTACACATGCAAAAACAAAGTTGAGATTTTAGCTCCTTATCCTAAAACGTTTGTCTCCCCCACCCCCCAGAAAGTGCACCAAACAATTGCCACCTACCTATCCTGAAAAGTATCTGCCTTAATCCACATACAAAGACCTACCATATGTTATTTACAGGCACAGCATGCAGGAGGTGTTTCTCTCTCGAACATTTCAGGAGATGCCATTGTTGCTGCTGGGGTTCTTTGGTCTTGTGGCTTTTGGCACTCAGGCAAACATAGTAACTGCAATTTTCATGCATTCTCCCCAGAAGAACATTTTATGAGAGAATACGTTTTCTCTTCTAAAGCTATCTATGAATTATTCAGTATCTATCCTCTCTCTCCCTCAAGTCCATCCCAACACAGTTTTCCTGCACAAACTTTTAGGGCTTTCCACTCACAGTAGGTGATCAGATTTTTGCGTGCATAAATATAAGTGCTTCATGAATAGATTTTTGTTTCTAGTCTGTAAGAATTTGTGCGATGAGAAACATAATTAAATTTATTTTAATTGCCCTGAACATTGGAGGTGTTTTTCTTCATCTGTCTCATAGCTTATATGGCCTCAGACAAGTTACACAGCATCTCTGGCTTTTCCCATCCATCGATCAGGGACATGAGCTTTTGCTTCATTGTACTGTTGTGATGATTAAATGTTACAGTCTTTGTGAGCAGCCTAGCATGAGGATGGGCATATTAAAGAGGTTTACCAATGTCCAGCCCATGCCATTCCTTCTGAACTGTAAGCATGAACGTATCATGTAAATGGATATAGAGAAGGATGGACAGGGCCAGAGAAGATTCCCTGTTTGGAAGAAACCTGGATTTAATGGTTTGGTGGACAATCTGGTTTCACCCTACCCAAATCTTTGCTGATGTTTTAGACCTTGGACTTAGGTCACTTTTTTCAGGCATCCATAGTGGGCAGGTAGTTTTATTACTAGAAATATTTCATATGATGAATTTTATATTTTATCCATTTTTTTTTCTATTTCTAGATCCTCTCCTAGCTTTCCAGCAGCTGCCATTTAGTCCCTGATAGTTTACCAAGTTTCTAATACCATATGTATTTCCGATATCATTTGACTTCTCTTTTTACCATCATTTATAAACATTTCCTGTGTGCCAGACACAGTAGGGTTGTAGTCATAAATAACCTGTGGTTCCTCAGCAACAAAACTTTACATTTCCATGAGAGAGACAGATCAACAAATAAATTCTACAGCATAAACATGATAGAGGGATATGAGATGTTGTTGAAACCAGTGCCAAGATAGGGTAAATTAGGTGATTAGGATGCAAAACTGAAGACAACCTGCACTCTTAGCGTCATGGGACTTGCAGAGTTGGCACCTGCATCACCCTGAGAATGAGAGTTTCCTTAAATTTTGCACCCTAGATGCCTCACTTGCCTCACCTTTGTCCTGGCCCTGGTAGAAACACAACAGAGAAAGACCCAGCCCTCCTTTGAGGAATCTAAACATTTTCCCAGAGCAGATGACTATGACTTAAAGCCCAAGCCTTTGAGAACTAGCAAGAGTTAGCCAGGCAAATAAAGAAGGGTGGGAAAGGTAGGGTTGTCAGCAAGTGTACAACCACAGAGGAGAGAACAAGTATGGCACACAGATGCACCTGCAAGTGGATTGATACAGCTGCATCACTGCAAGGGGGCTTGGAGAGGTGGGTGGCAGGACAGGGATTGCCTAAGGATGAAAAAAGGGCCAGTTCAAGTATCCAGGAGAGAAACATACTGTATGTTTAGAAGGACCAAGTAGTTTAATCATTGAACTAGGATACATTTGAGGGTGAAAGAAGGTACCACCCGTAGTTGCTAAGGCAGTAAGATCAAACAGGAATGTGTATGTATACAATGCATCTGCAGTACACGGCATGCTAATGTCTCCTAACATTGTCCTCAATGTAGTGCTTCTTCCACTTACCCTAGGTGTTGGAGGTGCTTTATTCTTCTTTAATATATGGGGAAGACCTCAGGGAAACAAAGAATGTCAGAAAAATTGCTTGTGTTAGGAACCCAGTAAGATCCCTTTATAAATGTGAGGTTTGAAACCATGTTTGGGCCAGTATCACTCCTTGTGTGCAGACCATGTGACCAATTCTGCAAAGATCTTTCTGCTTTTGAACACGCTGCACTTCTGAACATGTGTATATTATAAATTTTGATTTACAAATGCTAAAAGGATTGCAGACTTTCTGTCCACAGTAGTGAATGAGCCAGACATTTTAAATGTTTATTCCAGCAAACATGATGCCAGTGTCAACTGAAGAATGACAAGGTTCATCTTATGAAGAAGAGTTTTGTTTCTCATAAAGGGCTGTAGCCTGCAGGGTAGCCCTTCTGGTAGGCTGGGAAGCATAGCCTCTTGTCAGAAGCCAAGAACAGACACTTGGAGGTAAGGGCAAAGGAAACAGGAATTTATGCTGAGCAGAGTGGCTGAAGATACATATTTAAAAAGCTATAAGAGGAGTCATGAATATTTATAAAAGGAGAAACACACACATGTGCAATTGAGCTTCATGCCCTTTCATAGCTCCCTCCCATGTATAAAAACCGGCCATATTAGCATTATTTGAGGGTGGAATTTTCTGCCTTCTGAAGGCAAAAGGTGAAGCAGAGGATATGAAAATGCTTACTGTGCATTCTCTGTAGTACAACTCCATGGTTAGTGGTCTCTTATCAGGCCAAAAGGCAAGGCCCTCTCAGATAGTTGGTTGCTAACAGTGGTTAAATCTTTTCCCAGCACTTGAGGAAGCTGAGACGGGTGGACCATTAGGTCAGAAATTCAAGACCAGCCTGGCCAACATAGTGAAACCCCTTCTCTACTAAAAATACAAAAAGTCAGCCGGGTGTGGTGGCAGGCACCTGTAACCCCACCTATTCAGGAGACTGAGGCAGGAGAGTCGCTTGAACCTGAGAGGCAGAGGTTGCAGTGAGTGGACATCATGCCACTGTACTCCAGCCTGGGTGACAGCACAAGACTCTGTCTCACAAAAAAAAAAAAAAAAGGCTGGTTTCTGTTTAGCCCTTAGAGAAAAAAGGTTAATGGTGACAGGAAGTCTAAGGAGGTATGTCTGATCTCTTATCTTTTCATGGCCAAGAACTCAGCTTCAAGGTTACTCTTGGGTCCCCTTGGCCAAGAGAGGGTCCATTCAGTTGACTGGAGGGCTTAGAATTTTACTTTTATTTCTCGCCAGGCAGCCAACTCATCCATGTTACCCTCCAAAGGGCTCCAAAGATTTCTGGCCAACTTTTGTTGATAGAATGCAATGAGATTCTAGACTTGAATGAAGTTTTGATGCAATCACTAAAAGAAAATTATTATGAAAGAGAATACTCATTTATTTAATGATATTTCATACAAATTAGGTCTTTTGGTACATGTCCCTTACTCTCACAACACTATAATATGGATATAGTTTTATCTATTTCACTTTTTATTACTAAATACAGAAAAGTAGAGGGACTAGTGTAATGAACCCCTGCATGTATATTTACCTAGCTTGAAATAAATGTTAATAATGCTTCATATTTTAATTCATAGGTATAATCACATGCACATGCACATACACACACAAAAAAGCTTTCAAAGTAAAACAGAGGTGTCAGGATATTTGTTCCTTAAATAACTTGTTATGCATTTCTAAATGGTAATATTTTTTTTCTTCAAATAATAATGTCCAATAAAATTAACAACAAAACCAAGAGTACTAACCTAATGTCATCTACTATAATTTTTGTATTCACACCTTCACATTTGCATCCCAAATTTTCCCAGTTTTATCTTCAAACTTAGACCAATCAAGGACCACATATGGAATGCACCTGTTATGCCTCTTCTCTCTTAGCTCTTCTTTAATCCAGAGCAGCCCCAACCTCCTAGGACAATTGAAGAGGTCAAGCCAGTTGTCATGTAGAATGACCATTTTTAGATTTTGTTCCCTTGTGGTGGTATTCCCTTGTGATGTCTATTCCTTTTGCTTCCAGCAAGCTGGAAGTTAGATCTAAAGGTTAGGTTATATGCTACTTAAAAGGTTTTGGCAAGATAATATCATAGGGGAATCTTTGTTTCTTCGTACATTTGATTGCCCATAAATGATATTAGCGATACTAACGTCTATCACATTGGGCCCATTTAGAGAGGAAAATCCTGAAGTTATGGAGGTTAGCTGCATACCTAAAGTCATACAGTTAATAAGACACTGAAGCAGAATTTAAGTGTTACATATCCATGCAAGTCAGGGAGTGAGGGCTGATGGACCTCAAACCATCTAGGTGGACAAAGTAGAACTAAATAATGAAGCATGCAAGTAAAACCACAGGCACAAACATGGAAAAAGAACTGCCCTCAATAATGGAAATGAGGCTGTGGGGTTGTGAGCAGTTCAACATTTGACCCAAGAAAACTTTGGTGGAAGACTTTTTAAAATCTTATATTACAGTCAATTAGGTGTCAGAACTAAAATAAACTTTTGTATTCTTTCTTACAGATTTGCACTACAATGGTTGAGGGGCTTGCGTAAGGCATCGTCCCATTACTCACCTGTCACATAATCAGCAGTTGCTAGCTATTTGTCAAATGAATGAAGCTATTTGTGTTAAGTATTGATACCATATTCTACTTCTATCCAGCGACCAATCAGTCCTATGGATCACTGATCCTAGTTCCTCAACACCTCTTGACTCTATCTTCTGAAGTTTCTCTCACTGCTTTAGACCAAGGCACCCTGTCCCTCCCAAAACGATACTGTGTTAGCATCCTCATCTGTCCACTTGGGCCCCTTTCCAATCCACTCTCCACACTGCTGCCAAATAATTTTTAACACAGCAAGTTGGATTTGAAATTAGGCCTACATCCTTCCAGTGGTTTCCAATCACGCTTAGGATAAAATGCAAGAGCTTTACCTTGTCTTATGAGGCTCTGCATAATCCCCCTTCCATCCACTTCTCCAGGCTTATCTTTCCCTTTATATATTTTTGTTGTTTTGCTCCAAATCCTATGGTTTTCTCTGATTACTTGAATATGTTCCTGTTTTTCCTGCTTCTTAGGCTTTTTACATGCTGTTCCCTTTCCTGGTATCCTGGCATCTTTCCTGGTATGCTCATGCTCTGCTTTGTAACACAGATATCCATACTATTTCACCTCCAATAACAGTTGCTTTTTTGTTTTTTTTTTTGTTTGTTTTTTGAGACAGTCTTACACTGTTGCTCAGTTGTAGTGCAGTGGTGTGATCTCAGCTCACTGTAACCTCTGCCTCCCAGGTTCAAGTGATTCTCCTGCCTCAGCCTCTGGAGTAGCTGAGATTACAGGCACATGCTACCATGCCCAGATAATCGTTTGAATCTGTCATAGAGATGGGTTTCACCATGTTGCCAGCCTGGTCTTGAACTCCTGACCTTGTGATCTGCCTGCCTCAGCCTCCTAAAGTGCTGGAATTATAGCAGTATTTTAAGGGTACTTTCCCTGACTCTAAGAATGGGTTAGAGCTCCCTAGTAAAGACCCTTGTTCAATGTCTTGCTTTTACTTTGTAGGTCTAATCAAGTTTGTGAGTAAAAATAATTGCTTGTATATATGTATGTCTCTCTAACCAAACTATAAGGATCTACCTAGGTCATACTCATGTCTGCAATCCCAGCACTTTTTATAGGCCTAGAACAAAGTATATGCTTAGCAAAAATTTATTAAAAGTATAAGTGAATGAATGAGTAAATTTCTCACTTCATGTATCTAATTAATACATCATTTCTAAGACTGGTTAGTATTTGTGAACCTCGGTTTTCCATACACTTTCAGCCTTCAAGGCTTCTTTTGTCAGCCAGGTGTGTTCAATATCAGGGTGTTGGATGCCCTCAGATGGGTTCCAAACATTGGTATGGGGCAGATTATGTCTTCATTCATGTCAGTTGCATTTGGTAAGTGCAAGTATAAAAGCCAGGGTAGCTCAAAAGTTGTAGCTCTCCAGATTGAGGTGGTGGAGCTGAGGAAGAAAGGATGTCAGAGAGGACTCCCTAAATGAGAGGATTCCTGACATGAGTTGTAGAGTTGTTCATGAGTTGGCCATGGAAATAAAGATATGTATGATGCACATTCAAACCAGATGGAAAAGCATGTACAAAGGCATGGGAGGAAGACAGAATACGGCACTTTCAGGGCACTGTAAGGAGTTTGGTGTGGCCAAAGAACTAGCAATGAAACCAGAAGCTAGAGGACTAAATGAAGTCTGGGTCACAGAGCATCTTCTAGCCATGCGAAGTTGCTTACACTTCATGTGAAGGAATGGGAAACCAAGGAATGGGGAACAGCAAAGAATAATATGACCAGATACAATTTTTTAAGCAATTGCACTAACAATCGTTCAGATAAACAGAAAGACACACACTCCAAATTCAATTTGGTAAGTATACTGAATTTGATTTAATACTTGACTTTGTCAGGGCGTGTTTTTATGCTTCTTTATCCACTTGCCAAATCAAACATGCCCACAGCACTGTGTGAAAGTAGCATAATCTGCTTTTTAACCCTTTTCTCCTCTAGTGCAGGGAGGTTCGAGTTAATACACTGCCTGATTACTTACACATGGTGAAGGGTCCTTCTCAAGCTGCCCCAGATAGTTGAGTTCTGCTGCTGGTTTTATAGGCTTTATTTATTTAGCCAGAGCTGGAAACATGGAAAACAACAGTCTCTGAGCACGTGGATGGGTTTCCCTGCAGGAGTCTGAGCTGGCAGTTATTTTAATTAGCAACACATTTTATAAGGGCAGAATCAGAAATGGAAACATGTCAAGGCCTCTTTAGTTACTGAGTTTGGCAGGTTCCTGTGACTGTGCCTGGGCATGGTAATCAGCTCTCAGTTACTCTTCATCTCTCCCAAGGAAACCACATGCACAGAAGAGTTCTCTCTGCATAAAGCCCCCTTGGGAATTGGAGGACTTATCAATATGACACACAAAGAGTGGAGGATTCAGGAGTCCTTCTGGCACCACCTCTGGGAAATACAGTCTTCTCAAGGTAGACCTAAAGTCATTCTTCTTTGATCTAGCCCCAGACCAGTTTCTCAGTTCTCATAACCTTTCTAGAACCAGTCCTTCTAGATATGCAACCCAGTTTACTAAATTTATCTATCACATCCACTATGCAGCAAAAAATTGATTCCCCTTTTTTATTGCCATGATGGTTTCGAGCATCCTAAATGTGTATGTGTATGTGTATAATATAAACACACACACGTATATAATTATTGACTTCAGATATATCTAAAATAAACCATAGTAGTCTCCTCTCATCTGTGGCTTTGCTTTGGTTTCAGTTACCCACAGTCCACCAAAAATAGGTGAGTACAGTACATTAAGACATTTTGAGAGACAGAGAAACCATATTTAGATAACTTCTATTACATCATTATTTTCTTATTAATCTCTTACTTTGCCTAATTTATAAGTTACATGTTATCATAGGTATGTAGTTATAGAAAGAACAATACAGTATAAGGTTCGGTACTATCCACAGGCTCAGGCATTCACTGAGGCTCTTGGAACATATCCCATAAATAGAGAGGGGACTACTGTATACTTGTACATCTCAAAATGAGTGGAGACTACATACTGTTCTAACAAGAAGGTCTCCTAAATGAACAGCTTAAGCTGATAGGCGACTATCTTCTATTAACTTATCCATTCGTGTAATCATTGTGCCAGATATCAGCTAAGTGCAGGAGATATGAAAGAAAACAGGTCTCTGATTATGAGAAACTCAATTTAAAGGGGGAAGTGACCCATGGACTAAAATACAAGTTTAGAACAAAGTAGCCAGAGTGGTGATAGACAGGCCCACAAGGTTCTCTGATTTCCAGGTGGCAGAAACCAACTTTCATGCAACTTAACAGAGGGGGAGAATTTGCTGGATAGATAAATATATTGCATTAAGTTCAAAGTCTTATTTTGGAAGCAACCAGGCCCCTAGACCATAGACACTTTCTCAGGATGGGGAAGGGGGGAGAGAAAAAGAAATTCTTACATCCTAAAAAATAAAATGACCTGCAATTTCAAATACATATTTGGTGAAACACTACTTTTACAGCACCTTCAGTTTTTAGACCAAGGATGTCAGGATTATGACCCAGCGGGTGAGGATGCCTGAGCAACAAGTGACAGAAGCCCATAAAAAGAATTCTAATTTCTAGTATCAAACAAGGCCTTCCTCTGCCCCACAAATTCCTCCTAAAATCTATAAGCTAAAGAGCTTTTCAGGAGCACTCCTTTGTAAGACCATCAACCTGAATACCTAAATTATTATTATTAAAAAGAAAAAAAACCTCTTCCATCCTGGTTCAGCAACACATAAATAATGACTGCACAATGCCTCAGAACCAAAACCAAAGGATTACAAGCTCTTGTTAATCCATGTTGGAGCATATTTGGGTCAAAACAGAAGAGCAACAGCCTTGATTTGGGGGTACCTGGCCGCCAGTTTAATATCTGTTTTCTTGATATTAAAAAACACATTTTAAAATATGAGACTACTTTCACTTTGAGAAGTTAGTATTCACAGCCAGATCTGTTAGCAGAAAATCCAAGTCTTCCCAGGAAGTGACTGCAATAAAAAGTAGAGATGACATTGGTTGCAAAGTTAACAGTCATGTTAGGTGGAGCCCACCTTCATTCATTTTCAAGCATGCATTCAACCAACATATGGCTCCTATTGAGTACCTCCTCCCTGTGAGGATCTGTGGAGAAGCCAAGGATGGCTAAGTACAGTCACTAAACACACATTACTTTCAGTCCAAAAGGAGGGACAGACAAGAAACCAGATAGCAGAAGAGCACACAGAGTACACTAAACAGGTACCAAATGCTGAAGCAGCAATATACAGATGAGCTCAACCTGGAGCCAAAACTAGCTTCATGGGCATGCAGTCCATGCTCAGAAGGGCCCCATCTTGAACTACTTAATAATTTTATCTTTGAATTTGAGTTTCACAAGTGAAGTTTGATAGGACAATAGAGCATGTTCCTGGTGCTGGAACCTCCAGCTCCTGTGCCTTCTCACTTCCCACAACATCTCCATCTGCCTTGAATGCATTCTTGGCCTCCTGCCCCCCTGACTCTGGCTCCCAGCTCCTCTCCATATCCCACAACTGCTGGGGCAGCAACTGGGTCTTGTTGCACAAAAAGGTCTGCCTTCTGCCCTTACCTTCCAGGCCAGCAATGGCCTGCAGGCGTGGAATGGGGAATGTACCTGGCACTTGCCCTACAGCTTCTCTGAATGGGTCAAGACAACGACTGTCCTTGCCATGAACTAGTAGCATCACAACACCTCTGGCGGGTGACTTGGTGGAGAATTGCTACCCACTCCTATGGGGGTAGGGAGAATGTCACTGTACAGAGGTTGCTGGCCTTTAGAGGATACCCATTCACACTTGGGATGGCAATCCTGTGGGAAAGGGAGATTGACTTCCCCAGCTTGGGTCTTGCATTTTCACTTTCCATGGGCTCTGCAAATTATGTGACCATCCCTACTAGGACTCCAGATCAGAATGACCTTAAAGCCTCTGTTTCCGGCAATGTCCCACAAAGATTGGGACCATGCAGGGCAGGATATGAGTATGAGGTCAGAATGCTTTGGCCAGCCTCACACCAAATGTCTAGGCAGGAACCTGGCAGCTCAGATGCAGCAACGCTGGGCCCCCACACCAGCTGCCAGGGAGAACATCCACCACTCTTCCTGCCCCATGGCAGCTCCAATGGTGTCCATATTGTCTCCTTTCTTCTCTCTTCCCATCAAAGTCCACTCTGTTTTAGTGTGCAGAAGCAATTCTCTACATGCACTATGCTTTAGAGAAATCATGCCGGTGGTAACAGGTGGATGGGATTGAATGAGGACAGACAGGAGGGGTCTTGGAAAAGCTTGTGTGCACAATGGGAAAGAACTGAACAAAAAAGCCAAAAAAGAAAAGGAAATACTGAGGCAAAAAAGAAAAGGAAATAAAGGGAAAGGAGACCAACTGTCCTGGCTTGCATGGAACTTTGGGGTGTGAAACCCAGGATGTGAAACTTTTGGTGCTAAAATCAGGACAGTCTGAGGCGAACTCAGTTGGTTGATCACCCTAGAAGGTCAAGTCCTAGAAGTAAGCAGCAACTAATGGTGCCAGTGTTTTGTAACTCCAAAGGTCTTTCTCTTTCATTATCAGATCTCATCCTGGCAACAGTCACGGGAGACAGACTATTCCATTTAATTTATGAAGAAACCTGGGGCTCAAGAACACAAGTGACTTACCAGGAACCTAACAGCTAACAAGTACTGGGATAAGATCGCACATCCAGATCAGCTAACAAATAGAAATAATAGGGTCTGATAAGTGATTGAATGTGTTGAGGAAGAAAGAGAAGAAACAGGCTTTTTAGTTGACTGAGAGAACATTTCCACGAAAAGAAATAAGGAAATGAGGAGAAAAGAATCTTTGGGACAGAAAAGATGGGTTAGGTTTGAAGAGTATCATGCTCTGAATTCACTGAGCAACACAAAATTTCTCAGTGTGCTGATGTCTTAAAAGCAATCAGCCAAAATTATGTTTACTTAATAGATCAATGTGTCTTGGATACTGCGAACTCTGACACGCACCTTGGCAATGACTTTCTGCTTCTACTCAGAAAATATTCTGGGTCACCTTCCTGACAAGATAAGCAAAGAACTGGCAGTAAATTACTGTGATTGTACAGTGGGCAGGAATAAGCAAGATGTGGCTAATTATCTGTAAAGAACCTGAGTGTGGAAACCACAAAATAGCATAAACTGGGGGAGGAAAACAAGTTGGGGTGCCATCTTTAGAATTTTTTCATTCACCTTTAAATTTATTTACTTTTTATGTTTTTTTTTTTTTTTTTTTTTTTGAGACGGGTCTTGCTCTGTTGCCTAGGCTGGACTGCAGTGGCGTGATCTAGGCTCACTGCAGCCTTGACCTTCTGGGATCAAACAATCCTCCCACCTCAGCCTCTGAGTATCTGGGACTATAGACACATGCCACCATGCCTGGCTAGCTTTTGTATTTTTTGAAGACACAGGGTTTCGTCATGTTGCCCAGGCTGGTCTCGGACTCCTGGGCTCAAGCAATCCGCCCACTGCAGCCTCTGAAAGTGTAAATTTGTTCCTTTAGCAATCAATATCCAAAAACTATGCTACACTTGGGGAACGCAGAGTCACAGTGCTGCCTTTGAGAAGCTCATAACCCATCTCTGGGGTGCTTAAGCTGAGACTCAGGTTATAATAACAGATCTGTACAATGTTTTGAAGGAAATTGCCAACAGAAGTAAGGCAAGTGGGGGTTTGAAGAATGCACTAAAAAGTTTCCAGGTAGAAAGGTGTAAGAAAGCGCAGCCCATTCCTTTTTCATTTATTCAACAAATATTTATTTAGCCTCTTTAATGGGCCTGGTATCTTTTAGGTGGATTGAGCTCAAGAAACATGGCTCCAATTTCCACTATCCCATGACTCCTCCAAAGAAGACCATGACTTTCTGAAAAAGGGCAAGGACTGTAAGTGAAAAATAGGGGGTGGCTCCAAAGAGAAATTCCCCTCTATATTTTTCTGTGGCAAACTTACCTTAAGGGTTGGGTAGACACACAGGCCAAGAATTCATGGAATGCATACAACCTACATGGATGCTTACCATTTGGTAAGCATACACCATATTCTTGTCACATTTTAAACTCATTCTAACTTGCTTCTGATACCAAAACAGAAACTCAGAGAGGTTAAATATGCCCTCAAGGCCACACAGCCAATAAGAGAGAGTCTAGTGTGTTTCTGACTCATATCCTATGCCCCTACCACAGCACTGAACTTCCCCAGAGCCTGTAACTAGAGTGTAACTATTTAACCATGACATTTTTAATCCTTCAGATCTCACATTCCACCAGTTGTTTTACTTTTATCCTCATTCTTCATACCAGTAGACACATTCATAAGTAAGAAGCAGGACTTTTGTGGCAATCATATTTCACAATTGAATCACTCCTGGGTTCTTTTGGGCTCTTCCAAATAGGGAAGAGCTAGATGAAATTAATTATTAGATGAATTTTAAGATGTCTCCTTCACTTGAAATGCTGATTCCTTGAAAACTTCAGAATGAGGCTTCAAATCAATCTGTTGACTTTGACTGGTCACCAACATGTTAAAAATTTCCCCTCCCACTCTACCAGATTTGTTTGTTTGTTGTTTGCTTTTGTTTGTTTGAGTGATTGTTTTACTGTATATTTAATTCTCCCAAAATGCTAGTGGAGATTAGCAAAGTTATGCAAGACCTCACATTATCAATCTAGGCTATTCAAAGCATATGCTAGCACAGTTTCGTGGACATTGTTCCTCTTGGTTACACTTTATGACAACCAAATAGAGCTTCTGCTACACACAAAGCTGCAACTACAAAGTAAAGTTTTGAAAAAGAGTGTCTGGGCAAGGCACAAGGAAAGACTGTATCTCTGAAATTGACTCTTGGTTTTTAGAAACAGAAGTGGGGCAGGGGGAGAGGGGAGAAGAGAAGATTGTGCCTCCTGAAATTCAGAGAATCAATCCAGAGAGGCAGCCCAGGCTTATTTCTGGGGCTGAGAACTTTGACTCCAGCTTCCATCTGGTTTCCATAAGGCAAGGGAACTTGGCAAATGGCTGGCCACGTAACTTCAGCACGTGCACATCCTGACCACGAGCACCAGTAAAAAGAGCCAAAGGGAACAGACAAATTTCTCTTTGTTCCTCTGTACAGTCTAGGGAAGAAAAAGTTGCTTTCAAGAGAAACAGTGTGCTTACAACCCTATTGGGCAATGCCTTAGTCCATTTTCTGTTGCTATAACAGAAAACCACAGCCCGAATAATTTATAAAGAAAACAAGTTTATTTAGCTCACCGTTCTGGAATCTGGGAAGTCCAAGAGCATGGCTCTGGCATCTGATAAGTATCTTCTTGCTCCATCATTACATGGCAGAGGGTATCATATGGTAGGAGGGCAAGCAAGAGTGCACCTGCTCATCATCTCTCTTTTTTTTTTTTTAAAGCCACTAGTCCCATCATGGAAGCCCACAGTAATGCTTTTATATAATTCTAGTTACTTACCAAAGGCTCTACTTCCAAATACATCAACATATGAATTTGGGGATTGTTTTCAGCACATAAAATTTTGAGAGGTACATTCAAACCACAGTGGGCAGGTTCATAAAGAATTGCCCATTTAACTGCATCAAAAATGCCCAACTCCCACTGAGATGATGTTACTGATTATTCTAAAACTGCCTGGTAAATGTTCTAACTCCACTGCTGCATTTGATTCTATAAGGTGTGTGCACAGGCAGCAAGATCCAAGTGAAAGAGCCTGAACTTAGATCTAGATGGATATGGTATAAGTCAACAATTCTGTTACTCATAACTGAAGCCTTGAACAAGTTACTTAAGTTTGAATAACATACAGAGTATTCTGTAATGTATGAGATTTTTGTGAGATAATATATAGACATATATATAAAACATCGTGTACACAGCAGGTGCTTAGTAAATAGTATTTATCATTAAGTTTGAGGGGATGCTTTCCTCCAAGATTTTAATTATTAAAACATGCTCACAGTGTGTCTGGCTCTAGAATACCGTACATACATCATCTCCATTAATGTTCTGAACATAACTTTGTTGTTTTTCCATTATGCCACTTATAATGCTTCAGTTCTGATAATTATGGAATGTCTATTTAAAGGGAGTCTTCAGCTCCACGGCCTTACAGACGAGAATGTTGAAGCAGGAAAAAAATACGCACAGCAAGTCAGTGGCCGATCCAGGGCTCTCCCAGTATCCTGAATCTCAGTTTTCTGTCTACTGTTACACCTGCCTCCATAAATGTTTCCGAAGCTAAAATAATTACAGTCATCTTCCAAAAACCTCATCATAAAATTGTAGAGCTGGGATAGACCTGAAAAGTTTCTTCCATTGCTGTCTGATGGGCTGAATTATGGCTCCCAAAGATGCCTGAGTCCCAGAACTGGTAAATGTTATTTTGTATGAGAAAGAGTTTTTGCACAATGATGAAGGATTTGGAGCACGAAAGATTATTCTGTATTATTTGAGTGGACATGATATAATCACAAGAGTCCTTATAAGGGGAAACAGAAGAAACCAGAGTCAGAGAGGGGCCATCTGAAAATGGAAATGGTAACTGGATGATGGGCTTTGAAGATGGAGGAAGGAGACAAAAGCCAAGGAATGCAAGTCACCTGTAGAAGCTGGAAAACACAAGGAAACAAATTCCTCTAAAGCCTCCAGAGGGAACCAGCCCATAGCCAGTGACACTGATTTTCCATTTCTGACTTCTGGAAATGTAAGAGAATAAATCTGCATTATTTTAAGCCACTGAGTTTGTGATAATTTGTTATAGCAGCAATACATAACCAATACAACAGTGTAGCATACTGTATCAAACACACTGAGTGACAGCCAAAATGCCCAGCCACTGGGAATTACAAGTTGTAAGAGAATATAAGGCAGCCTTTTAAAAAAGTGTTACTTTAAGTTAACTGAAGTGGAAGAATGTGTATGGTATATTTTTAAGTGAAAAGCATACATAAGACAGTATATAGAGTAGGACTCCATTTTGAGAGAGAGAAAAAAATAAGATTGAAAGTATATATTCATTATTTAGAGTAATTATCATCAGTGTTGGGATTTTCTACGTTCTATGTCCTTTTCTGTATTCTCCAGCCATGATGCACTAAATGTATTGATTCTATAATTAGAAAAAAGATATTCTTTAAACAAAAGCCTATTTTTCACCAATCCTTTCACTTTATAAAAACAGGAAATGTATTTGTAAAGCAGAAGAGTTGCTGGCTCAGGAAAGGGACCAAATTTCTCTTCAGTTCAGAATTTGGAAGCTTATTCTTAAATTATCAAAGGTATAAAAAGCCCAAGACTGAATCTCACCTATGAACGCTCACAGAAATGACATACACTTCCCTCTTCATTTTTAATTTATCTTCAATGGACTGTCCTTTCATATTAGGAGAGTTAGTACGTGCTTTCTTCCTTAGACAAATCAAGAAAAGCATTGGAGAGCATAAACGCGTGTGGCATTTTGGAGCTTCTCACAGAGTCTCTCAATGTGAATGCCATCCAGGCTGAGACAGCCATGAGACTTAAGTGCTTACCATCTTCTTACAACTCATTTCTCTTCTGCTCTTATGAATCTTTTGACTCCTTTTTCTCATCTGTGTCTCCTTATACCATGGAAAATCCCTTCATCAACCATCCTCTGATCTCTCTTACTGGAAATCCTTTTTCCTCCCTAATTCAGGAGTAGCAGGGACTATTTCTGAGCTACTACAATATTTCAAACACTGTACTGGGTTCTGGGGCTACAAAGATGACTAAAACAGAGTCCTTGTCTTCAATTAGCTTCCAATCTAGTGGTACCAATAAGCATAGTCAAAAGAAGTAGATCTTATATAGGAAAGACATTAGAAATTATCATAGATATTCAAACAGCATGAAAAAGCTACTGGGTCTGAGTATAATTCCAACAGAAAATGGGTGATTTCATGAAGGAGGTACATGCTAGTTATTTGCCTCTTTGCTTTATGATACATTCCTCATCCTTCTCCTGCTCTGACCTATATCATAGCAAGGTTGATTCCTGAAAAATGCATTTCCCAGGCTCCTTGACACCTGGCCTTAGGCTAGGTTTTGCCCATGGGAGACTCATGCAGGAGATTAGAGGTAAGCAGGAGGCTAACATATTTCTGTCTTTCTCTATGCTTCGGGCAGCTTCTCTGGCTATGGCTGAATCTCCATCATGCTGCCATGCCCACTGGAGAGCCCCACCTCCGCCAGTAACATCCCCTCCATTTGTTATGAATCTCCCTGCTAAGGCCACATGTATTTAACAGTGCCAGACCCAGGGAGTCCCTGAGCACTTTCCTTTTGTTGTCCCTCCAGCCCCAGCAATGGTGGCAGCTTCCTGTTGATGCTAAACCCTCACTTGCCTGACATCTCCTGTTGAACTTTTCATCTTGTCCAACAGTCTTTTGAATAGTTCCCTAGAGTAAATACCCTGGATTTAACTACCAGACACAGGCTCTGTCTTGCAGACTCAACCCTCAGAAGGAGTTTGTAGAACCAGAAGATTCTCCATTGGCAATGCAAGGAAGAACATTCTAGGCAGAAAGCATAACCACAATCCAGAATGGAGAAAAGCGACTAGTGTAGGGCAGCTATGTCTTGAGCATCCCCAGGAAATATACTGGAGGATCTGACTGGCAGTCTAGGAAGAATGAGACCACAGAGGCTCTTGAGTTATCAGATGGAGTAATATAGGTTTTATTCCACATGCCTGGAGAGTTATTGAAGGTTTTGAGCACAGTGAGATGACCAGATTTGTTCTTTTGGAAATTCAATCTGGATGTGGCAGATTAAACTGCATAATGTTAAGAGCCTAACACAAAGAAACAGTCATGTAAATAGCAAGGAAGGGTAAATTTAAGCAGAGTTACTGTGACTTGGCA